ATTTGGAGAGGTTTGTACAAACTTGATGTCAGAAGTTCAAGTTCAAGACTTTCCAGTAGGTGGCAACCTTTGCTAAAATATCAACACTAAACACATGTTCACAGTAGGAATAGTTGCAGCTCATGCATTTAAAAATCACTGCAATATAACACACAACATGCAACTATCAGGTGGGAAGGCTGACTAGTAAACAATTTTGAGGGCTAATTCAAGGCTGAATCAAGATGTAGGACATGTCAAAATGTTCTGGTGACCCAAGAGTACACATTTGTAAGTGCTTAAGCATTCAAACACACTTTTTACTCTAGAAGTAGTTCGGATTAAAGCATTATCAGGCACATGGGGTCCTTTATAGGAAAAGGACATGGAGTGCTGCCCACGAAAGTTCCCCATCTCCCCAGTTTTGCACTTAACATAAAAGAGCTCCCTGAGGGCATAAAAAGCTAGGAAACTGCTGAGTTAAAGAAATGGGATTGAGTATAAATTTTCCATTTTCAAACATTATCCACAAGAGAAAGTGTGTTTGCAGGGGAGGGGGGAGGGGATGACATGACGACAAACCCTCACATTTAGGATACAAATGCTAATTTTAGCAAGTGATGTAGAATTTCCTTGACAATCCCACCCCTTTATATTTTTCTATTATGACGGGTGGGAAGAAAAAGGAAGAGGTGCAAAAAGTTTCAGTGCAAAGCTAAATGCATCTTTAGGGCTAAGTGAAAAGTATCAGAGCACATTTGGAAGTGGAATTGATTCATTTCCTCCCCTGCTGCAGTCCAGAGACATACAGTGGTCCCTCGGGTTAAGTATTTAATTCGTTCCGGAGGTCCGTTCTTAACCTGAAACTGCTCTTAACCTGAAGCACCGCTTTAGCTAATGGGGCCTCCTGCTGCCGCCGCGCCGCCGAAGCACGATTTCTGTTCTCATCCTGAAGCAAAGTTCTTAACCTGAAGCACTATTTCTGCGTTAGCAGAGTCTGTAACCTGAAGCGTATGTAACCTGGAGCGTATGTAACCCGAGGTACCACTGTATTCCATTTATGAAGCTGGTGTTTGGTTTTGCAAGGGTGGAAAATTCTCCCCCAGTGGGCTTTGTGTTAAAATCCTGCAGTAGGCACACATTTGTTCATGTGCTGCTGAGCAAGCCACTTTGAATATTCCCTTTTACCTAAAAGCCCTCCATAAAACATCTGTGTAACCATTTGCTTCTTACCTGCTACAAAAATTAAGCCTGAGTATATGCAGCTGCGCATGGGACGTGGGTGGCGCTGTGGGTAAAAGCCTCAGTGCCTAGGACTTGCTGATCGAAAGGTCGGCGGTTCGAATCCCCGCGGCGGGGTGCGCTCCCGTTGCTCGGTCCCAGCGCCTGCCAACCTAGCAGTTCGAAAGCACCCCCGGGTGCAAGTAGATAAATAGGGACCGCTTACCAGCGGGAAGGTAAACGGCGTTTCCGTGTGCTGCGCTGGCTCACCAGATGCAGCTTTGTCACGCTGGCCACGTGACCCGGAAGTGACTCCGGACAGCGCTGGCCCCCGGCCTCTTAAGTGAGATGGGCGCACAACCCTAGAGTTGGACACGACTGGCCATACGGGCAGGGGTACCTTTACCTTTACCTTTTTATATGCAGCTGCATTTGTGCGGCCTTCTCTAGTTACCCTTGCCCCCCCCAATCAAGATTTAAAGCACAAGTTGCTTGGGGTAGGAGCAACTTGCATCACTCAGGACACCAATGCGCATGCATTGTACTATATCAATAAAATAAAGCAGACTCTCTTAAGACCACCTGCAGGGATCAAAGCACAGGAGAAATAGAACAAGCAACAAGAAACCTTACATAAGATGCATTCTCCCCACACTGAAAAATAGAAAATAAATAGAAGCCAGGCTGCACATTCCTCCCCAGAAACCTTACCTTTCAGCCAGCTTGTGTTGGATCAGTTTCATTTAAGTGCAACATAAACCATTTCTTTTTCATAATCCTCGGTTTCCTAAACAAAGCTGTCATTGGCACTTCTAAATGCAAGAGCACCTTTGCTAGCTAAAACCTGAACTCATTGCAAGGGTGTCTTGGTCAGGGCACGGCAATGTCAAATCTGCAAGGGAATAAATACTTGCCCCCTGTGTTCCACACTGGATTCCTAGAGGGTTAGGGCTTGGATACCAGTATGCCAGGGTCCAGATCCCCACGTGCTGCCTGCTGTGCAAATTCTATTCAGTTTAATTCAGCGTAGCTTAGAAAGGAGAACTCCCCTAGTGATTTATGTCCCATCTTCATCTCTCAAACTGTTGCCCCAAATCTGCTACATGGGGTGATTGGCTTACGGCCAGACTGTCTGCACAAAACAAATTTGCTCTCCCATTTGGGCTACTGAATTTCACCTTTGAAAGCTGTCATTCATCTCTGGGTTTGTCCTTATGACTTCTAGTATGTATGTATAAGGTAAAGGTAAAGGGACCCCTGACCATTAGGTCCAGTCGTGACCGATTCTGGGGTTGCAGCGCTCATCTCGCTTTACTGGCCGAGGGAGCCGGCGTACAGCTTCCGGTCATGTGGCCAGCATGACTAAGCCGCTTCTGGCGAACCAGAGCAGCTCACGGAAACGCCGTTTACCTTCCTGCTGGAGCGGTACCTATTTATCTACTTGCATTTTGACGTGCTTTCAAACTGCTAGGTTGGCCGGAGCAGGGACCGAGCAACAGGAGCTCACCCCGTCGCGGGGATTCGAACCGCCAACCTTCTGATCGGCAAGTCCTAGGCTCTGTGGTTTAACCCACAGCGCCACCTGCGTACACATCGTTAATCCACTCTGTCACCATTTCATGCCACCATCATCATAGGTGCACACTGTGTGTGCTAACTCTGAAGTTGACAGGCAAGTTTTCAAATAAAGATAAGGCTCTTCTGATTTGTGAAAGGACTAATCCTTGAGGATTTCCCTACAGCACCCTCTTCTTACAAATAACATTCTTGAGTAGAATCTGCAAAGACTGTTCCCATTAGATATACAAGAAAAGAATAAGCCCTCTACCTAGCTACAGGTCCCCCAAGTTCAGAGTAGAGAAGTCATGGCAGTTACACAAATTTACCTTCGCAGTGTAGACATACTCCTACAAGGGATTCTAATAAGGACAAATGTAAGGTTCTGCACTTAGTCAGGAAGAACCAGATGCACAAATATAGGATGGGGGACACCTGGCATGCTAGCAGTACTTGTGGAAAGGATCTAGGGGTCTTGGTGGACCACACGCTTAAGAGGAGACAACATTGTGATGCAGCAGCAAAAAACATGAATGCTATTCTAGGCTGCATCAACAGAAGTATAGCGTCCCGGGAAGTAATAGTACCGCTCTATTCTGCCTTGGTCAGACCACACCTGGAGTACTATGTCCACTTCTGAGTACCACAATTTAAGAAGGATGTTGACAAGCTGGAATGTGGGCGTCAAAGACGATCAAGGGTCTGGAAACCAAGCCTTATGAGGAACAGTTGAAGGAGTTGGGTAGGTTTAGCCTCGAAAAGAGGAAACTGGGAGGAAATATGATAGATACCTTCAAATATCTGAAGCGCTGTCACATGGAGGAGGGAGCATGCTCGTTTTCTCCTGCTCTGTAGGGTAGGATTCGAACCCATGGCTTCAAATTTGCAAGAAAGGAGATTCAGACTAAAAATTCGGAAAAACTTTCTGATAGTAAGAACTGTTCAGGAGTGGAACCGACTCCCACAAGAGGTGGGTGACTCTCCTTCCTTGGAGGTTTTTAAACGGAGGTTGGATGGCCTTCTGTCATGGATGCTTGAGCTGAGATTCCAGCATTGCAGTGGGTTGGACTAGATGACCCTTGGGTCCCTTCCAACTCCAAGATTCAATGATTCTATGCATAAGTGGTCTTCGGGGTATGCCAGGTTTTACACAACTGAATTGGTATTTGAGTTCAGCACAGGGTACCATTCACGTTAACCAAGGGAAACACTGGGCTTTGCTGCAACCATTAGGGAGGAGGGCACACCTGTCTCCAGCAGAGTTCTCTCAGATGCACACTTTAGTGCAGAAATGCCTTCCCCCAACCCTCAAAGGAAGTCTGTCATGTAATATGAGACAGAATTCGCATCTGGTTCCTAAGTGTGGTTCAGCATTATACTTGGCAGTGACAACACACAACCTGGGACTTCCATGGAGACTGCCACACCTTTCTGATGGTAGCTTCTAGTAGTTCTAAACCACAATTCCAGTGTGTAAAAATACATCAGACATGGTCTCAATGTGCTTTACAACCTCCTTGTATGGTAAAAGGTAAAGGTAAAGGGACCCCTGACCATTAGGTCCAGTCATGGCCGACTCTGGGGTTGTGGCGCCCATCTCGCTTTACTGGCCGAGGGAGCCGGCGTACAGCTTCCGGGTCATGTGGCCAGCATGACTAAGCCGCTTCTGGCTAACCAGAGCAACGCATGGAAACGCCGTTTACCTTCCCGCCGGAGCGGTACCTATTTATCTACTTGCACTTTGACGTGCTTTCAAACTGCTAGGTTGGCAGGAGCAGGGACTGAGCAACGGGAGCTCACCCCGTCATTGTGGGGATTTGAACCACCGACCTTCTGATCGGCAAGTCCTAGGCTCTGGGGTTTAACCCACAGCGCCACCCGCTTCCCCTTGTATGGTAGACCATGTCTAATATGCAGAGACTGAGAAAACAGCAGCTTCCCTAAGTGAGTTCATAGTTGGTGCAAGACTTCAACTTGCTCACAGAGCTCCTATAACTTTTACTATTAGTAACCTACATTATCTCTCTTCAGTGTAGCCCGCACTGCTTTCCAGGATTACTAAATGTGAATTTGGAAACATCCCAGAACACAGAAATTACATTATCCACCTGTAATCTTACGAGAGATACCTACGCACCTGCTGTTACGCGGTGGATGTGCAAAATGTACAAACTTACAGCAGTTGTGAGAATGGATTTAGGAGAAAGGAAGGTGGAGTTTGAGGGTTAAGGTGCTATACTGACATTGCAGCTGCCTCCATTCTTGCAAGGGTTGCTGTCGCATTCGTTGGTCTCGATCTCGCATTTCGTCCCCGCAAAACCAGCCCGGCAGCTGCAGGTGTAGCTCCCCGGCCCTGTGTTGGTGCAGGTGGCGCCATTCTTGCACGGGCGGTGGTTGGTGCAGTAGTTGAGGTCTTGGTTGCAGAAGAGCCCGCCCCAACCTTCTTGGCAGGTGCACTGCCAGGGCTGCACGCAGGTGCCATGGAGGCAGCCTGGGTAGCGGACGCACTCGTCGCAGGAAGTGCCCTTGCCAGCCGATACGACACTTGCACTCTCCGGGTTTCTCGCAGTACCCGTGGCTGTTGCTGCAGCCGGGCAGACAAATTGCTGCAAAGAGTTAAGCAGAAAAGAAGGGAGGGGGAGCAGAGAGAGGAGGAGAGAGGAGGGGGGAAGAGAGCCAGTGCTGTTGCTGTATAGATTTCACGCGTCACGCCAACATCTGGCGCCTGCCGCTGCACCAAACAAAAGCCCCACATGCCACCCAAAAGGCGAGCCGCCACAGGACAGGGCATGGCTGGCTTGGAACACGCGCCCCCTTTTGATCTCTGGCTGCTCTCCATTGTTCCCCAGTAACAAAAGCAGAGTGTCTGGGGAAAGGGGGGGGAGTGTGTGTGTCCCCCCCCGACCCACTTTTAAAACTTGGCCTCCCCACCACATCCAGCTAAGGCACACTGTAACAAAGGAAGGGGGAATGTGTGCTTCACATGACCCTGGTTAATTATCCAGTCCCTTCTCTCCCCCCCCCTTTCCCCTTGGGAAGTTAACCAGCCCCTCCATATGCCAGGGCTCCAAGGGGAAGCTTTGTGAGGCAATTAAAGCGTTGTGATTTAAGGGACTGTAAAGGGAAGGATTCCCCAAGCCCACAGCCATTTCCATGGAGACTGGCAAAACCGACAAGGGCTGCGGAGCTAGGCCAAGTTTGCCCTTTCTGCCCATTATCCTGCTTCAACTTTTGAGGATTAGAAGGGGTTCACACGTGCACGTTTTGTCTCTCCCCCCCCAGTCTAATCCTTTTAACCGACAAGGGCTGCGGAGCTAGGCCAAGTTTGCCCTTTCTGCCCATTATCCTGCTTCAACTTTTGAGGATTAGAAGGGGTTCACACGTGCACGTTTTGTCTCTCCCCCCCAGTCTAATCCTTTTAACATCTAAATAACTCACAAATCTGTATGATCAACACAGGATCACTATCTCTGATCCCAGAAACCTCAGGAAAAGACAGGCAGCACATTTGATCACACTTTCTGCTGTGAAAGGGGTAGCGCCTCTGAGCATCTTCAGAAAGTATCACACTCCACACTGTGTAATCAGGTGAGGGAGAGCCATTTCCCGTTCCCGGAAGCATCACCCCGGAGATTGTGGGCTGGGAGCATTGGGTGGTCCTCGGCCACGTCATCCTTAAGCCATCCAATTCGGACAGTCCAGGGGTGTGGTGCAGGCTATTTAAACTGCCCGCGGCCAAGGACTTGCCCCTGTTTTTCTTAGGTTGAAGGGGAGGGGAGCTAGTGGCCATCACCTACCCCTCCTAATTCAAGGGTATTCCGTTAAAGGAATCCAGGGGGCATGGTCTCTGTCCGAAGCCCCAGACTGGGGGGAGGTTAGGGCCATGGCACGACCCCGTAGCAGTGACCCTGGGGGAGTCCCTAGTTGATGTGTATCAGCAGGGCTCCCCCTACTGGTGGTTAACCCTTCCAAGACTCCTGCAGACAGGCAGGAGTCAGATATAGTTGTGTGGTTTCCAATGCCTAAGCCAATACCAATGGACACTGGTGGCACTGTGGGTTAAACCACAGAGCTTAGGACTTGCTGATCAGAAGGTCAGCGGTTCGAATCCCCGCAACAGGGTGAGCTCCCATTGCTCAGTCCTTGCTCCTGTCAACCTAGCAGTTCCAAAGCACATCAAAGTGCAAGTAGATAAATAGGTACCACTCTGGCGGGAAGGTAAACGGCGTTTCCGTGCGCTGCTCTGGTTCACCAGAAGTGGCTTAGTCATGCTGGCCATATGACCCGGAAAAACTGTCTGCAGACAAACACTGGCTCCCTCGGCCAGTAAAGCGAGATGAGCGCCGCAACCCCAGGGGTCCCTTTACCTTTAACACCTCGGAAGAACTACCTTGCTGGCAAAGCTCATTTAGTCTAGAATCCTGTTTCCAACTGTGGCTGGGAAAGTATCCCTAGGAAACACACAACGAGAGAACGAAGGTGACATACTGTATTTTTTGCTCTATAGGATGCACCGGACCATAGGACGCACCTTGTTTTAGAGGGGGGAGGGGGAGAACAAGGGGGAAAAATTCTCCCCCTCTCTGCTCAGCACCCCTTCAGCGAAGCGGCAGGAGAAACGGAGCCCCTTCCATTTCTCCTCCCACTTGGCTGAAGGGGCGCCACGCAGCTCTCCCTCTCTGCTGAAGCCAGGAGAGTCTTGCTCTCCTGGCTTCAGCAAAAGGAACCCGAAGCCTGCGGAGCGCAGAGGGAACAGGCAGCTATCCCTGAAGCCTTCGGAGCACAGTGCGAGTTCCCGCTGCGCTCTGGAGGCTTTGGGTTCCTTTTGCTGAAGCCAGGAGAGTAAGACTCTCCTGGCTTCAGCAAAAGGAACCTGAAGCCTCCGGAGTGCAGTGGGAATTCACGTTGCACTCCGAAGGCTTCAGGCGGCTATCCCTGAAGCCTGAAGAGCGAGAGGGGTCGGTGCGCACTGACCCCTCTCACTCTCCAGGCTTCAGCAAAAGCAACGCGAAGCCTCCGGAGCGCGGAGGGAGCACTCCCTCTGCGCTTGGGAGGCTTCGCGTTGCTATCACTGAAGCCAAGGAGCGTGCATTCGCTCCATAGGACGCACACACATTTCCCCTTAATTTTTGGAGGTGAAAAAGTGCATCCTATAGAGCGAAAAATACGGCATTTCAACCTTTTACCCCACCAAAATCAACTGACATTCTGGGCTACGCTGCCTCCATACCTGGAAGTTCCATTTAGCCATCACAGGAAATAGCCGTGAATAAACCCAACCCTATCTGAATTTCGTATAATATGAAAGCCATCTACCCTAGTGAACCATCACAAATCTTCTGGCAGAGAACGCCATTGTGTGAATAAATAGTTGGTCTGTCCAAGATTTACTGCCAACCAAATTAGTGGAGACTCTGAACTCTAATGTTATGGGAGAGGGAAGAAAACCTCTCTTCCTTTCTCTGCACCATAAATAATTTTACAAGCCCATCACATGCCCTTAGTCACCTTTCTTCTAAACTATAAAAGCTCAATATAGCTTTTTCTCAACGGAAAAAAGTTCCAGTCACTTGTTCTGTTTCTACAGTATATACCGTAATTTTTGCTCTATAAGACTCACTTTTCCCCTCCTAAAAAGGGGAAATGTGTGTGCGTCTTATGGAGCGAATGCAGGCTGCGCAGCTATCCCAGAAGCCAGAACAGCAAGAGGGATTGCTGCTTTTGCTGTGCAGCGATCCCTCTTGCTGTTCTGGCTTCTGGGATTCAAAATATTTTTTTTCTTGTTTTCCTCCTCCAAAAACTAGGTGCGTCTTATGGTCTGGTGCGTCTTATAGAGAGAAAAATACGGTGCATTATATACTTCATGACCCATCTTACTTCATTTCTTTTTTATTGTTTTTAATGTGGTTTAATGTTGTAATCCTCCCTGGAACCATAGGGTGACGTGCAGGTAATAAATACCTCATAAAAGTAATAATATCTAGAGTGGAGTAACCACACAAACACACATTATTCCATGTGTAGCCACCCTTTAGTAATATGTAAAGGCTATTATGATACTGGCTATTTTAAACCCCTTTCATAATAATTCTTAGCAGAGCAGATTCCACAACAAAAGTCTGCAACCCCACGCAGGCATGGCCAAACTTGGCCCTCCAGCTGTTTTGGGACTACAGTTCCCATCATCTCTGACCACTGGTCCTGTTGGCTAGGGATGATGGGAGTTGTAGTCCCCAAACAGCTGGAAGGCCAAGTTTGGCCATGCCTGCATAGAGTTGCAGACTTTTGTTGCCATAGGGATCTGTATGTAGGTCACTAGAAAACACCATATACTCTAAGGAAATAAGTATAAATAGATTAATAGAGTATTAAAGGAAAAATAAGGTTAGAATGTGTTAAGATAATTATAGGATAGAAAACAGAGGAAGATGGAAAGGAATTGCTGAAACAATTAATAGAAGTGGAATACAAAAAGGGAGGTGTGAGGAGGTCGTGGAAATAAGTGAATGAAAGATAAGATACGGAAAGTGTTTTAAACTGTTTTTGTTTGGTTATGTTATTTAGTGTTTTTGTATTGTATTGTATTGTATTGTTCTTTTTTGTTTTTTGTTGCTGTTGTTGTGTTGTGTTTAAATTGTTGGAAAACTATTAAATATCAGGGGGGGAAAATAGAAAACACCATATACTCTCCCACTATAGATGCATTGAGAATTTAGTATTGGCCACCTGGCATTGATTTTTCAGCTGTGGTTCTTGCACTGCAGGGGTTGGACTAGATGACCCTTGGCGTACCTTCCAACTCAACAGTTCTATAATTGTTTTATGTTAAACGGGAGTCGTGTTAAATTCATGCCAGTGAAATGCCAGCGCCTCAACTCTACACCTTCCCCCTTCTACTACAAGCTGTGGTTGCTACACCCTCCTCTCCTTAGAGGTTACTTACGCTCAGAGCAGTATTCGCCCCGCCACCCTGCCAGGCAGATTCGGCTGCCCAGCTCATTGCAGGTGTAGTGCCCAAAGGTATCGTCCCGCGGCCGGCAGTAGTCCGAGCAGCTTTCCCCATAGTAGTGCTCATCGCAGGTGACGTGGTAGGAGTAGCGCAGCTCACTTTGGTCTCCCAGCTGCACATCTTGCGACCAATCCTCACCCACAGCCAAGCGGCGGCGCGTAGCCAAGCGACTGATCAACCTCTGGGCATCCTCTAGAGAAAGGGAGAAAAGAAGTTGGCAGATGGATGGGTCATCAAGCAATGGGAGGGATGGTGGGCAGGGAGAGGAAGAGATACACCTCCAGCCGGAAGTGTTGAATGGTCACTGCAAAATGTGAAGGTTCATTCTTGTTTCACAAGTTGTGTATGTCTTTAAGGGCCAGGGCAAATAACGAGACCCAGCCTTGCAGCTGTGAAACATATCAAATGTTTTAATCTATCTATCTATCTATCTATCTATCTATCTATCTATCTAAAGGTACCCCTGCCCGTACGGGCCAGTCTTACCAGACTCTAGGGTTGTGCACTCATCTCACTCTATAGGCCGGGAGCCAGCGCTGTCCGGAGACACTTCCAGGTCACATGGCCAGCGTGACAAAGCCGCATCTGGCGAGCCAGCGCAGCACACGGAAACGCCGTTTACCTTCCCGCCAGTAAGCGGTCCCTATTTATCTACTTGCACCCGAGGGTGCTTTCGAACTGCTAGGTTGGCAGGCGCTGGGACCGAGCAGCGGGAGCGCACCCCGCCGCGGGGATTCGAACCGCCGACCTTTCGATCGGCAAGCCCTAGGCACTGAGGCTTTTACCCACAGCGCCACCTGCGTCCGTGCTGCTAGGTTGTGTTAATTAAGCTGTGTCAGCATTTGGGCATAGTATATAAGGAGCAGCACCTAGCTCTCTCATCACCCTGGGAGGTGGGTTGGTGGTTGGGTCATGTTGGTTGTTGTTACCTTTAGTGTAAAAAGGAGTTTTTGTTTTGTGATTAAAACCTTGTTAAAGTTCTTTTCGAGTTATGCATGCTCTTCCCCAGCAAGCTCTCTGCAGCGCTACTCAACTGCAAATAGCCAACAAGAAGTGAGGTTCAAACCTTTGAATCCAAGAATCACAGGCTCTTGGAAGGAAGGGGCTTCAAGAAATTGTGCTGGAAAAAGCTCTGTGCACATCAAAATGAGCAAATTCATACTGGATACTTCTGTAGAAACCAGTCAGGAGAGAGCACTTCACATCTGTACTAGTCACATGCGCACTTGAGGGGAAAGGTACGGGCAGAGCACAGCCATCACGGCTAGCAGCCACTGACATCCATATCCTCCATGAAAGGGCCCAATCCTCTTTATGAAGCCACCCAAGTAGGTGGCCATCACTGCCTCCTGTTCCATAGTCTAACTATGCACTGTGGAAAGAAATACTTTATCATCTAATATTCAGCTTCACTGGATGCCCCTGAATTCTAGTGTTGTGAGAGGCAGAAACACTTTTCACTATTCACTTTTTCCATGCCACGCATGAGTTTTATAAACTTATGTAAGGGTGCGGGTGGCGCTGTGGGTTAAACCACAGAGCATAGAACTTGCCGATCAGAAGGTCGGCAGTACGAATCCCTGTGACGGGGTGAGCTCCCGTTGCTCGGTCCCTGCTCCTGCCCACCTAGCAGTTTGAAAGCACGTCAAAGTGCAAGTAGATAAATAGGTACCGCTCTGGCGGGAAGGTAAACGGCATTTCCGTGCGCTGCTCTGGTTCGCCAGAAGCGGCTTAGTCCTGCTGGCCACATGAACCGGGAAGCTGGACGCCGGCTCCCTCGGCCAGTAAAGCCAGATGAGCGCCGCAACCCCAGAGTCGGCCATGACTGGACCTAATGGTCAGGGGACCCTTTACCTTTTAAGATCACCTCTTACTCACCTTTGAACTAAAAAGTTCCAAATGCTGCATTGCCTCATAGCAGAGTTGCTCCACCCCCTTTAACATTTTGGTTGTCCTTTTTGGAACCTTTCCCAATTCTATATCCTTTTTCAGATGAGGTGACCAGAACCGTACGAAGCATTACAAATGCAGTCACACAATAAATATAAAAGAACCTTGGGATTCTTTACTACTACTCCAATTTTGTGTACAAGTTTTTCCTGCTCCTTATTTTATCCTCACAAGAACTCTATGAAGTAGGTTAGTCTGAGAGACAGTCACTGGCCTAATAATAATAATAATAAATTTTTATTTATATCCCGCCTTCTCCGGCCAAAACCGGGCTCAGAGCGGCTAACAACAAGTAAAAATAGCACAGTGTACATAAAATGACACAATTAATTAAAATACATACTGAAATCAATTCAGAATCAAATTAATGGCAACCATTGGGCTAGAGGGGGTCAGGCTGTGCCTTGGCCAAAGGCCTGGTGGAACAGCTCCGTCTTGCAGGCCCTGCGGAAAGATGTCAAGTCCCGCAGGGCCCTGGTCTTTTGTGACAGAGCGTTGCACCAAGTCGGGGCCAGTACTGAAAAGGCCCTGGCTCTGGTTGAGGCCAGCCTAACCTCTCTGTGGCCCGGGACCTCCAATATGTTTTTATTTGAAGACCGTAAGCTCCTCCATGGGACATACCAGGAGAGGCGGTCCCGTAGCTACGAGGGTCCTAGGCCACATAGGTCTTTAAAGGTTAAAACCAGCACCTTGAACCTGACCCTGTACTCCACTGGGAGCCAGGGCAGCTGGTATAGCACCGGGTGAATGTGATCCTGCGCCAAGGGAGTCTTGCTGCAGCATTCTGCAAGGCACCAAGTAAGCGTCATGGGTGAGCAGATATCTCAATCTTGTGCCCCCTAACCTTTAAAGCCCTATGCAAAACTAGCTGTTATCTGTGTCCTTTCATTGCTTTTCTAGTAATAACATTTCTAGTAATAACATTTTGATTGTAGATTGTTGCTGTTTTTCTAAATTGATCCAAATGGTCACACCGGTGAAGTTAAAATAATATTATGTCAAATTTAAATAAATTGATAATAAAGGGTAAAATTGGAGACATAATAGTCGAAATGTATAATATAAAATAAGATTTGAAAGAAGGTGAGGCATTGCTGAATATGATCATGTAAAAGGGAACACAGAAAAGGGAGATGTGAGGGAGTCTGGAAGGAGGGTTATGAGAACAATAATTAAGAAATTGGTTTTTTATGTCTTTTTTATGTCTTTTTTTTCTTTTTCTATTTTTTATAGTGGGATTTTTACTGTGTTTTTCTGTTTTCTTTTTTTGATTGAATGTGAGGGTGCTTTTTTTCTACTCTGTGTTGAATGTGAAGTATGTTTTATTGTTTAAAACTTTAACAAATATCTTTAAAAAAAACAAAAACAAATGGTCACACCTAAGGACCAGAAACACATCTTGCACTTCATAAACCACGGCTTATCCTGCTTCCTAAAGCTTAGCACAAGCTTTAGGAAGCAGAATAATTGAGGGCCAAAATAGGATGCTATTATTAAGATGGACAGCTGTGTGCGCCAACAATTTACTTCCAGGGCTTGATGGGTTTCTTCTATAATGGTGAGGAAGCAAAGAAGACATGCAAAATGTGGCCATGGGTGCAGAACCCAGCTTCCAAAGAAACTACCATTTCCTTGTTTGAAAATTCCTATCACTTGTGGGTATGTTTGAAACTGTTGATGCCTACAAAGATTTCAGAAGCTGAAGAAGTTTGACCGTCACATGGTGTGTAGGCATTAGCTATCCTACATCTGGGACCCCAGTGTGGTAGCTCTGGATGCCACAATCAACTAAGGCTCCTACTTTTTATTTGCTAAGGATAGAAATGGTTTTTTTGCTAGGAGGGGTTTTTCTGCTTCTTGTCTATATTTTGTTTTGTGAAGGGGCGTTGTCTATGGGGGCAGGCGTTGATCACACTCGGTGTTTCTTCTTTGAAATGGGTATTTTGTGATGCCCGTAACAGCTTTTATTTCCAGTTTTGCTCCTGAGCCTCTCCCCTTGACTACCCAAACCAGAATGACACAATATGAAACTATGCAAATGTGTTCCAATTTCCACAGATCACACTGTGGTCATAATATTTTAAGTGCAGAATTTGAGATTGCCTGAACTCTGAATACAGAGCCCTGGTTAGTGAGGTGAGGTGAGAATATTCTCCGGGGCCCCTGGTTCCTTTCATGTGTGCATTCTTTGAAGAGCTCTCATTTTGAATGAAATAGTCATGTAAGGATTTAGCAGCACTCTGAGAAGTATTTTAAGGCTTTTGGAGATTTTTTTCCAGGCTCATGGGTTTCATTACCACAAAGTGTAGAAATAGAATTCCCTACAGCATCCCACTTTTTAATTACATTTTTTTTTTACACCTCAGGAAGGACTTATTTTCAATCAATTCAGGCTTGGAATAAGCCTCATTTCAAGCATCTATGTTTCTTCTCCTCCCACCCCCAATTATTATATATTTATTATTAGTTAATTAATTAATTAATTAATTAATTAATTAATTAAATTTGTATACTGCCTTTCATCCATAGATCAGCTAACTAGGTGCTAACTTGGTTCATGTCTCATCTTCGTATGAACTCTCTGTGAGATCTTTAGAAAACCACTTCTTTTTCAGCAGGACTGCCACAAACTTGTGCAGTAAAAGATAATTAAAAGAGAATATAATGAGAAGTTGATAATTAGATATAAATTGGTTCTTAAGTAAAAAGATACAAAATAAGGAAACACAGAAGGGAGGGGAAAGACTGTGGAATGTTTTTGTGTTTTTTTTTGTTAAAATACATATATGAGAAAATTAAACATAAAGTAATATTTATAAAAGAAAAAAAGCTTCAACACCTCCACTGCTGCCTGTAACAGGAAGAGCATACTGGGGAGAAAACAGAACTTTTATTCCCAGTGTTACACTATCCGTATTTCATATTCTTCATCATCATACATTATTAGAGACTGAGAGGTGATTTGACATCTTTAAATACAGTGGTACCTCAGTTTTTGAACAGCTTAGTTCACGAACAACTTGGAACCCAAACGCTGCAAAACCGGAAGTGTTCCGGTTTTTGAACATTTTTTCGGAACCCGAAAGTGCTCCGCTTTGCATCTCCTTGTGGTTCCTGTTGCGCTTCTAATTTGCGCCCCCCCCTCCCAATTGTAATTCAAGCCGTCAGTATCCAATTGCAGTGTTCTAAAGTGATATTTGAAGCTTATATTTGGTGCTTTTGTTTTTGCTATTTGTTTTGCATTTTGTGTTTTAAGGCTTTTTCGGTTCATTTCTTTTTGTGACTGTGTGGAACCCAGTTCAGCTAATGATTGACTGATTGTGTGACTGTGGAAATGGATAAAAGCCCCCCATCCAAACAATGACTATCATCAGTGCAGGTAAGAAATAATAAGAATTTTAATTTTTATCATCAAAAATACTGATTTGTTTATTTTGATTATTGCTTTCATTTTATGGATCAATGGTCTCTTTAGATAGCAAAATTCATGTTCAATTGCTGTTTTAAGGGTTGTTTTTAAAAGTCTGGAACGGATTAATCCGTTCTGCATTACTTCCTATGGGAAAGTGTGCCTTGGCTTTGGAATGCTTTGGTTTAGGAACAGACTTCTGGAACGGATTAGGTTTGAGAACCAAGGTACCACTGTATCCGAAGGGCTGTCACATGGAAGAAGGAAATAAGCAGCTATCTTATCTTTAAAAGACATCTGAAGGTAGCCCTGTTTAGGAAAGTTTTTAATATTTACATATTTTAATATTTTAATATGTGGTATATATATCTAGTTACAGGTAGGTGGCCATGTTGGTCTGCTGTAGTCAAAACAAAATAAAAAAAATTTTGTGTGCATGCACACTTCTTCAAATACCTTCCTCAGATATTTTGTGCATGCACACGAAAGCTCATACCAATAACTAACTTAGTTGGTCTCTAAGGTGCTACTGGAAGGAATTTTTTTATTATGGTACATATATATTATTGATTATTTGTTTTGTATAAGTTTTCGTACATTATCATGCCTTACAGTGGTACCTCAGGTTACATACGCTTCAGGTTACAGACTCCGCTAAGCCAAAAATAGTACCTCAGGTTAAGAACTTTGCTTCAGGATGAGAACAGGAATCGCGCAGCAGCGGCACGGTGGCAGCAGGAGGCCCCATTAGCTAAAGTGGTACCTCAGGTTAAGAACAGTTTCAGGTTAAGAACGGACCTCCAGAACGAATTAAGTACATAACCAGAGGTACCACTGTATTTGTATTTTATTTTTTTTTGTGTGTGTGTTTTGTTGTTGTTTGTTTTTCTTTTGCTTCTGTACTATTTTTTTCTGGTTTAGTTTGACAACTGTGTGTGTCTATGTTGCAAATAAACTCAATGAAAACAAACAAACAAAGAAAAAAGGAATGTAGCGTTTTCTATATCTCTCACATGATAACTTTCCTATTCCTGCCCATAGCTGTCAACGTTTCCCTTTTTTAAAGGGAAATTCCCTTATTCCGATTAGGATTCCTTGCAAGAAAAGGGAAAAGTTGACAGCTATGTTCCTGCCCCCAAATGTACTTTTTGGTCATTGTTTCATCTCTCTCTTATTGCTTTGGGTGTGTCGCAGGAACCCCCCCCCCCCCGCCAATCATTCAGTTTGTGCAAACTTCACACACACTCACACTACGCTTCTGTTATGAATTCATAGAAAATCAACCATACATCGGATTTGCACTGTTCCACTTTTATTTGACTCCATGAAGGAAGGACTACAAAATGGGGAAGGTTTGATACAGGGTGGCCATAATCCCTTCACCATCCCAGCACATACACAGGAGCCCTGCCCAGTTGCTATGCCAACCCTGATGGTCCTAGACAGAAGACCATCAAGATCAGGAAGAACTTGCATATGGGAGTGGATTCAGCACGGACTGGAACAAAGGACAATGATCAGATCTTCCCTCTGGGGGCAGGAAACTGCAAACTCCCCTCTGTCACCTGGAAAGTACTCATGGGGAGGGGGAAAGGGGGAACCAGCCAGGTGACAGGACACTCAGGTTACCACCACCACCCCTCCCTCAACCCCTCCTTTCCTGTGATGTATGTATGATGTTTCTGGGGGTGGTCTTGATCTACAGGGTGGCAATTTCAAAAGTCTTTATAAGGCCTTGCACACCATTGATGGGAAGTTTTGCTTCTGCACATGACTCTGGCAAACCGTTCTAAGCTAGAATGTTCAGTTCACATTGAGTTCATGAAACATCGTATCCTGACCTGTTCCCAATGCATGGTTAACCACATCTACGGAATACAATAGTGATGCTCCTTTAAGTTTTGCTATATCAATCACTAGTTATAGTTTAATAAGGAGGTTTTCATGCCTGTCCAATTCTGTGTTCCCTTTCCCAACCTTTAATCTATTGATGATTAATGTCTATATGCAACCCTTGCATTGTATTTGCGTTAACCAATCAGCAACAAGCACATATGTGGCAATGCTGTAATATTCAATAAAAGGGACTCCCCGAGACATGCTCGGTAGATGCCTCCCATATGACACTTGCCATTCGTCTGTCGTTTATTTCAACCCAACACACCATTTTTCTGGGTCCCTCCTCTCTCCTGCAAGTGAGGGGAACACCCTGTTGCAACAGATCAATAAAGGCCAAGCCTACAGGCTGCTGTTTTGCTCCAAGTTATCCTGGTTGGTGTCTTTGCTTTTGTCCAAGGGAGCCCTCGGATCTTTCCCGTTAACGGGTGCTATTGACCTACTTTACAGGATTGTTTAGACTTATGAATGTGCAGCACTTTGAACATTTTCACTGCATGACTTTTTTTTTTTTACTTACCTGTCGATGGCTCTCCTGATTCTGCCTTCCAAGATTCAATAATGAGGGAAAAGGTGCCCTGGGAGAGAAGGAAAAAGAGAAAAGACAAGTCAGAGACTTGAGGAAATACAGCAGATGTTTTTCTGCTATAAAAAGCTGCCAGTTTTCACTACTCATGGGGGGGGGTTTGGGTTAATTTGGCAAAAAAAAAATTCCAAGTTTAGAATAGCCCCCAAGCATATGGAACATGGGAGAACCTCAATTTCCTTTAATTTAAACATTTATATCCCACCGTTTAAAGCTGTAAGCACATTTGTGGCAGCACACAACAGAAGAAAAATCCTTTAAAACATTCATTAAAAACATACACACACATTCGATTGACGCTGGAGAGAGACTGAGTTGAGAAATAAGACCAAGGGTACATATTGATATAGGAATGTATTAGATAAAATGTAAAGAAATATACAATAATAAGAGTACATTCATTTGTAAAAAAGGAATATACAACGGGATAGACAGGAAGCCCAAAGTGTTGGTACATATATGATTTTGGAATAGTTTTTTGTCCTCGTTTCTTTTTTTAGGTACCGTATTTTTCGCACGGCTCTTGCGGGCTTTTCGACCCAGCTTGGGCTGGCGGTGGGGGGAAGCGCTGCTTTCCCCCACTGCCAGCCTCAAAGAGCAGACTCTCCTGGCTTCAGCGAAAGCAACGCGAAGCCTCCGGAGCGCAGGCTTCGGAGGCTTTGCCTTGCTATCGCTGAAGCCAAGGAGCCTGCATTCGCCCCATAGGATGCACACACATTTCCCCTTCATTTTTGGAGGGGAAAAAGTGCGTCCTATATAGCGAAAAATACGGTATATAAACCTTGTATATAAACTTGGTATACATGCTGAAAATTATATTATAATAAGCCTTGTGATGTAATATGATAATGTTTACCGATGTAACATAAGAACTTTAATAAATAAAACTAAAAAAATAAAATAAAACACACACACTTTCTCTAAAAAAAATAAAATAAAAAAATCCACATTATTATAATTTTTAAATTCTTTCGGAAGGATTCTTTTAAAGACCTTCTTAGATCATATAACTTTATTGAAGACTTGTTCTTTTAAGGGAGTTTTTGGGTTCTTAAGAAGAGTCTTTTTAAAGAATTGCTTTAATTTATTTTGACTGAGACTGGGTTATACGCCTTCTCCACGTTTGAACAGCAGCCTGACCTCCCACATCAAACTACTTTTGAAGTAAAATTGAAGAGGAGGAGGAAGAAGAAGAAGAAGAAGAAGAAAAGCTATCTGCAAATTTTGTTAACAAATATGTCACTTGTGGAGGCTTCTACCGACCAGAGGGGGACAGTTATGTGAACAGGAATGGTTGCTGAGGACAATGGCCGAATCCCAGCAGCCCCCAAAATGGCGGCACTCTTGCCTTTCCAGAATGGGCCTGATATGTACTGTATTTTAATATTTTGTTGAAAGCCGCCCAGAGTGGCTGGGGAAGCCCAGCCAGATGGGCGGGGTATAAAGAATAAATTATTATTATTATTACTACTACTACTACTACAAGGCCTACTGTGACTAAAATGTGTTTGCCACATTGGGGCAGAGATGTAGAATGGCAACCAGCTGGCATCTCCCTCACACATTATTATACAGTGGTTCTACTCCTTCCTCCTGGGCCGTGTTCAGAAAGTGGTGTTGGGCGTTGAGTGTTCAGACCCCTCACTTGTGGGGTCCCTCAGGGTTTCATCCTCTCCCCCATGCTTTTTAATATCTATATGAAGCCGCTGGGAGAGATCATCGGGGGGTTTGGGCTGGGTGTCCATCAATATGCGGATGATACCCAGCTCTACCTCTCTTTCAAATCAGAACCAGTGAAGGCGGTGAAGGTCCTGTGTGAGTGCCTGGAGGCGGTTGGAGGATGGATGGCGGCTAACAGATTGAGGTTGAATCCTGACAAGACAGAAGGACTGTTTTTTGGGGACAGGAGGCGGGTGGGTGTGGAGGACTCCCTGGTCCTGAATGGGGCAACTGTGCCCCTGAAGGACCAGGTGAGCGGCCTGGGAGTCATTCTGGACTCACAGCTGTCCATGGAGGCACAGGTCCATTCTGTGTCCAGGGCAGCTGTTTATCAGCTCCATCTGGTACGCAGGATGAGACCCTCCCTGCCCGCAGACTGTCTCGCCAGAGTGGTGCATGTTTTAGTTATCTCCCGCTTGGACTACTGCAATGTGCTCTACGTGGGGCTACCTTTGAAGGTGACACGGAAACTACAATTAATCCAGACTGTGGCAGCTAGACTGGTGACTGGGAGCGGCTGCCGAGACCATATAACACCGGTCTTGAAAGACCTACATTGGCTCCCAGTACATTTCCGAGCACAATTCAAAGTGTTGGTGCTGACCTTTTAAAGCCTTAAACGGCCTTGGTCCAGTATACCTGAGGGAGCGTCTCCACCCCCACCGTTCTGCCCGGACACTGTGGACCAGCACCGAGGGTCTTCTGGCGGTTCCCTCCCTGCGAGAAGCCAAGTTACAGGGAACCAGGCAGAGGGCCTTCTTGGTGGTGGCGCCCACCCTGTGGAACACCCTCCCATAAGATGTCAAAGAGAAAGACAACTACCAAACTTTTAGAAAACATCTGAAGGCAGCCCTGTTTAGGGAAGCTTTTAATGTTTAATAGGTTATTGTATTTTAGTGTTTTGTTGGAAGCCGCCCAGAGTGGCTGGGGAAACCCAGCCAGAAGCCTCAGGTTCTTCCTCAGTCTTCAAGGATAACAGTAATTGCCACCTTACTTTTTGTGATTGTGTTTTAAAGTGTTCTTATTAAGTGTTCTTAATATGATGTTTTCATGTTGCATCCCACCCTGGGACCTTAGGGCAAAGGGCAGGTAACTAACGACAACAACAACTTTGAGTCTCAGTTATTTTCTTTCTTTTTTTTAAAAAAAAATCATTTTTATTAAGTTTTCCATTTTAACATTCCAATCAAATCATATTAAATATTCCACATTATACATATACATATCAAATAATGCAAATATTCTGCCGAATTATAAATTTTTTGTTGGGTCTTCCCATGCTTCGATTTCGGGGGGGGGGCTCTCTGGTCATCTCATATCTTTGCTGCTTTTGATAGTCATTTCTAATAGTTTCTTTTAAATCTTCCTGTTGTTTTCCTTCTTGAGTCTCAGTTATTTTCAAATGGGCCAGCGGTAGAGGTTGTGTTCAACAAGGCTGGTGATTCTTTCACAAAAATGCCCAAACAATAGCCCCAGATAATTATATCTCCTCCTTGTGGTTAAATGCATTTCGTTCTATTTTACGCAAGGCTCCAATTAGAAAAAATAATAATAATCTCAAGCTCTGGAAAGGCAAGAGTGCCGCCATTTTGAGTGGGTGGCGCTGGGACTCGTCCATTCTCCTCAGCAACAATTCCTGTTCACATAACTGTTCCCTTCTGGTCGATAGAAGCAGAACAAGTGACATATGTGCTAAAAAAATTAGCAAATGCTGTATTTTAGTTTTGACTTTAGCCCAAAAAAGATGTTTTTGTATGCCACTACAGCGGCAAGACTGCTACTAGCTAAAAACTGGAGATCTCAAGAAATACCAACAGCAGAAGAATGGCAGATGAAGATGTTGGACTTTTTGGAGCTGGCCGACCTGACTGGAAGAATCCGCGACCAGAAAGGAGTATCAAGAAGATTGAAAGAAATTCAAAGATTATTTAGCCAAATATTGTAAAATAAAATAATTAGAAGTCACTTGAAAGTATCAAATAGGCTTAGGATTAGAATAAGAATGAATTGCAAAGCATTATGGATTTAGATTATTAAGAAAAGAGAAGAAAATAGTAAATTGAAGGAGTTAATTTTATTAGAAAGAGGGTTTTGGAGAACTGTTACAAGGTGATACAATGAAATTCAGTTTGGGAGAATAATAATAATTAAATTGGGTTTTAGAAGTAATAAGTGTTTATATTCTTGTTTCTTTTTTTCAGTATTGTAACGTGTTTTCTTTTGTGTGTTTTATGTGTTATATCTGTTATAAATGTGGAAAATCATGGCAGATGAAGATGGAGTTTTCGGAGCTAGCCGACCTGACTGGAAGAGTCCGTGACCAGAAGGAGGAGGAGTACCAGGAAGAATGGTCGAAATTTAAAGACTATTTAGTTAAATATGCTAAGTTAATTTAATTGGAAAAGCTTGCAAATGTTAGATAGGCTTAGGATTTAAATACGTAATGTTAGGAATTAATACGTTTAATGCCAAAATAGAAAGAAAGGAAGATGTTAAGTGAACAAGTTAATCTGACGAGAAAATTGGTTTTGGAAAACTGTTAAAATGACATACACTGAAATTCAACTAGGGGGATACGAGGAAGTCATTTAACAATGTTATTAGGATTGGTTTAAAAACGGTTGAGATCTATGTTTGTTTAAAAAAATTTTGGAAAATCAATAATTTTTTTTTAAAAAATCAATAAATAAATGTGGAAAATCAATAAAAAAAATTGGGGGGGGAAAGCGTTTTGACTTTAGTTTTACTTCCAAAGTACTGTTATGGGAGGTGAGGCTGTCATGTTCAGAAATGGCTGCCTCAGGCTTAGTAAACACCCACAATTAGGTGTGAGGGAACTGCCAGCGAGCAGCCATTTCGTTCCACCTTGGTACTTTTTCAGCTACGGTTAAGACTAGGACTTGCGCACGCAAGGTCTGTTCTCACAAGCTGGCGAATGCAGGGAAACCATTTTTATACGTCAGGAAAAATGCTGAGGCGGGAACAGACAGGAGATTCGTGGTGAAACAATTCCAGATTATAATACATGAAGAGCTTAAAAAGATACAGGTGAAACTCGAAAAATCAGAATATCGTGGAAAAGTTCGTTCATTTCAGCAATTCAACTTCAAAGGTGAAACTAATATATGAGTTCGACTCGTGACATGCAAAGCGCGATGTGCTTCTACTTCTCAGAGGTCCAATCTTGCTCGATTTGCAATCCTCGTTTTGCTGATTTCCTTGAATATTCTAATTTTCTGAGATTAATTGGGGCTTTTCATCAGCTGTACGCCA